CTCAGTTCAGCCTTTCTTCTATGATGTTTCTGGGAAACCGAATGTGCTACACCGGGCCACTTCGTTTTTCAGTTGGTGCGACATTTAAGATATCCCGGACCCTAGCGAGAGATTCAGCTGGGTTCCAGATGAGTCTCCTGTCAAAACCAAATTGGTATTCAGATGAATGCATTTAGCTAATTTCTTGCAATTTGCGTTCAAGCAGAATATGAAAGTGATGGAAACTCTGACTGCGCTCACCTGATGAATCTTAAGAAGGGCGAAACCGGTCTTGGGCTGTCGAAAATATTTCAACAACTTAATGATTAGAGTATTAAGCCTTCGAAGCTATTCCGGCTTGTAGTGTGATAGATGAGTTCAAGCATGTCCAGTTCTTTTCTCGCACTGCACATTTCGTTAAACAACATCATAAAAGGGACAAATTAAAGTTCTGGTTAAATTATTTGCCACATCTAACTAGATTACAAACGACTAGCTTATCAAATGTGAATAGTATTCCAGAGAAGTTTGCTATATCCACACATTGCATTATGACAAAGAGCCTTAACACCTAACAACACATAATTTACACACGTTTTAATGACAGGAAATGAACCATTACCGATACCAATAAAAGAACAGTAAATCCAGCCACGGAATCGCTTACTAAAGAAATTACTCTACCAAATGTAAAAGCTACAGGAACCATATTGCGCACTGACTTCCAAGGGCACATGATAAGTAAGTCACTGTATTTAAGTCGAAAAATGTGCCTGTGGTTTTCATTTGGCCAAATGATGGACGTGTGTCATCCAATCCACGCAGTTCTGACCCTATAGCTGAGGGGGACTTATCCAGTTCTTTCTGTTCCTGGTATCACTATGTGAAGAAAATTCCTACTATCCAGCCTAAGGATAGGGAGAAAGCCATTCGCCGTGGAGTGGTTTATTGGATAAAACCGCTAACAGACCATTGGACAGGAAATTTAAACTCTCATTTGCGCGTCGTATTTAAAAAAACTAAATATCCATCATCTTCTTCAAAGCGTTTTCCTGTACTCTCTTGGAACTTCATTGACTATCACGCAATTGTAAACTACTGCTGCAAAGTAGTTCCGCAGATTCCGTAATATATCCCACCTTCCATTTGAAAAAGAGGAAGTTACGAGGAAACTCATACTACTCGCATGCTTCATCAATGTCACACCAGGATTGCGTTGTTAGCTAGTCAGGACGCAATAAGCCCCTCATCTCCGTAAAACGGCTTTACTAACCGTGACATAGTTTGCCAAAGCAAAAAAACCTCACATAATGCATCAAGGCTCGGGCTAATATATACGACAATTTCCGTTAATTCGTAGGGCTCACAGCCTGTGCGTGCCTGTATATTTTCCACAGAACACAGGGAACGCAATCGATTCTCAGTAAAATTATCGTCCTTTTGACGTGCCCTTGAACCGCACGATTGGATAAGTATTGGAAGTCAGTGCCCGTGATAAGTTAAGCTTCAACAGCTTCTATTCTCTTTAGTTTCTCTTGAGGTGCTGTTGTATTTTTTCAACGAAGGTAGAGGGTTACTGGGAAAATATTACTGGCGTTGATACAATGTTAGCTGAAATACTGCGTGAGCTGTCGCATCTGGTTTGGATAAAAAGTATTATCAGAATGTTTTATCCGACAAACAGTGCAGCACACGATACCGTTAGTGGAGTAACCATTCTAGGCAAGTTTTATTGTTTCCAAATGTCCATCACTACACTTTGTTTTTAAGTTAGCACGGAGGGGACTTTGTGTGAAATGGTAATTCTGGTGGGAGTTTAGAGTTTTCAAGCCTAACGTTAAACATAAACCAGGTGCACTAATGGAGGCTCAAAACGGGATAACGTGTGTCCAGGTTACTTTGCACGCTGACAGGGCGAACCATTAAGCAAATATGGGTGTGTCATGGTTATATTTAATAATCCAAAGCAGATGACAAGCTGTTAACTATTGGCAATAAAATCCTTTTTATTACATTTCTGTTATGTTGCTTGGAGCACGGGGTGTCAATATGAGTCACTGTGAGTAAATCCACTCATCGGAAACATTCGAGCTCACCATATCTGAGAATAAACACTAAACGCATTCAATGGGAAAAGTTTTTACTCCTGAGTGGCGATATTCATGCAAGCTTATATGGTGGAGGTTTAAAAGAACGGGTAGTCGGATAGAGGCCACTCCTTGATAGAGACACCTGGTTGATCCTGCCGGGTGTGAGTTGCGTGCTTTCAGACAAAACACTGAGTACATTTGACAGATACAAGAACCCTGCTAGCCATAAACTTTGCATTTAGTCAACGTATTAAGTCTACTTAACGGTTAAGTTGTATGAGGATTAAGCAACAGAAATGTAGGGTTAATTTAAAAGCTCTCCAATGTTAACGCAAGATGACAGATGGGGATGACGGATTTTGGGATTGATACTGACATTAAAGCATCATAGAGAATAAAGCCTGAGTGAGATATTCTACTTATAATCAGACCCATATAGTGAGGATTTATCCCGAATAAAAATTTTTAGCAAAAGGGAGCTGACCTTGACGCAGTCCGTGATTCCAGACTTGTTTCCAAAAACACTACCTCCATGAAAATAGTTCATGTTACTGACACATAACTTATTGTGATACTGTTTGTTTCTCACGCCCAGCTGTTTTAGAATCTTGTCACATTAGGAGAACGTTGAACAAAATTGATTTGGCTAGACCGTCTTGATATTGGGTGCACACAGCAAATATTCCGTTGGAGAATATCACTTGAAGAGCTAATGAGAAGCAATCAAACCAGTACAAATCGCAAAACAATTCAAGACTACCCAACGTTTATGTTGGTCCCAAAAACTAATTACTTTAGTTCACCAACTGAAATAGGTATTAGCAGTAAATTGGCTATGCTTCATTCTTTGTAGACCATTTCCATGAATGAAAACCAGTGCCAAACTAGGGAAATATTATTTGAAATTTTTTCTGGTGGTATACCGTCCTTTATAAATAGCTTACAATCTTTGTTGTATAATAATAGTGACACTAAAGTCTGTTAGACTGCAAGTTTGTGCAGAAAACGGAAGTTTCTCTCATGTTCACACACTTTTCATGCCAAAGTTTCAGAGTTGAATACGCCACGGGATATTACTTGTTATTTATACCTGCTCCGATTTCTGGTAGGGATACAAAAGCCCGATTATTCTCAGTCGCATAGAAAAGGTAGCCTCAAGGAAAGTAGTGCTGCAACTTTAAAATATTGCACATCTTGGTCAGTTTTGACCCCAAGCATTTTCCGCTGGAGGCAGATATTCCAAACCAGTTGGGACAGATAGACCTGTAGATTTAAGGATACTAGTTTGAAAATGAAATTTTGGCACAGATTTATTGATCATTGGTAGAAGTTCATGTAGTATTCACTACAAGTTCGTTTAATTACACATATTTCTTGTCCAAACTGTTTCACGCTTCGCCTGTCCAGCCTTAAACTCTACAGAGAGCAAATCTTCGATCAGCTGCCGAGCTGCTACTGCACTTGAAATAATCAAAATGGCTTGGTGGTATCTAACTGTTCCTGTGCTTCTCCGCAGTGACTAAAAGAAAAGTCACCAGTTTTATTCAAACGTAGTTGACCAAAACTCGTTTTTCAGGTATTGGCAAACTGCAGTGAGTAAATTACAATGACATAATAAAAATGACAGACTTGCAAAGGATCTTTTAGACTTTTTTCTTCGGATGATAGAGAAAATCACATCAAGCTGAATGGCATCAAATTTAGCGATCCTAGTTTTATGATTTTAAAATGCTTTGAAGTGCTCTATTTTAGCTTTATAATTTGTAAGTTAGATCTACAGAGCTAATAAACTGAAGCAAAAATTTAGTTTTATTCTGAGAGATAATGAATGATAGAAAATCAAAGTAGAATTTAAGGTAACCAGATATCTTCATTAAAACACTAAACTAGTTATAAAAAGGGGCCTGGATGAATCCATTCGAGTGGCTCTTGATTGTAGTCATCCTCAACTAAATGTGCTGCATCTTTTAAAGAGTTTCCACCAACCCACTAAGTAGGATGTTGCATACAGTCTGGGATACAAGGTCGCCCTAAACAGAAGGTTATTTTACCTAGCCAAACACATCACGAGCAATGAGTGAATATGTAGGCACCAAAATGGTCGGATACAAGATGGCAGGTATGTATTTTGAAACGAAAAAAGCCTGCTGCTCTATTTGTTTATGAACTTTACATGGTAAACAATATATCATCAGGAGCACACTCACGTTAGTGTTTTGGATGGTCTGCTTTAAAAATTAGACCTTCAGGTGTGATGTAAATTGCTGCCCACTTTAAGATGCGCAAGATGTCTTCACAATCAAGATTACCTTCTCCATGAGAAAATATGAGGTGCGTTTACGGTCATAAAGTGAAAAAGCAATTCAGATAGCTTGGAACACGCAAAGTTTCCAAAACCATCGGAACTCTATTGTTTTTATGGTGAACTCAGTTTCTGTAGGACTCTTTTCGTTCGTGCCTTGTGCCACTCACCCAAAGTGCACATTGAGAAGTGCAAACAACAAAAATCCTGAGGGGCGAACCGGCTGATTGGCAACTGACGAGATCTGCGCCAGCAATGAAGTTTGCCAGTTTGCCTTCACAGTCTGTATGAAATGATTTTCCACTGAATGTCTACCCACAGATGATAAACAAATGAAAGAGAGTAAGTAGCCATTTGCAGGTGAATAAAATGATGCGACTGTTTTGGTAATGAAATTTTGAAGGGTTATTTTGATACAAAGTCGCAGGACACTTCTATTGTTTTCGAATCCAACGTATTTTTAATTAAGGTCAACTCCCACGAAAATGACGTTCCAAGGAATCGGATCAATCGCGTTCGAATAAAATTAAAGGTTACCAAGACCTCTATGCAAGCGAAGTAAACAGTTGATACCAGTTTGAATAGTGGTGGAAGTGGGAGAACATTTTTGACATCTAATTCCTTTTCAGATGCCCCTGTCAACCGCAGTATGTCATATAAGGAAGACATAAACGAAAATCCAGGGCCTGAGAAAAAAAGCCCAGGTATACATTACATAAAAGAAAAGACTGCCGTCCGACACGACCCGCCGGATCACCTGTTACCAAACGGTACTCAACTAACAAAGCATTCTAAAATTGGGATATTCTAATTTAAGCAGAACTGCATGCAGGTCACAGCGAGGTGAAGAAGTTTAGGGCTTCATTGTCGACAAAGGCTTACGTCATATTCTTGTAACCAAATTCCTCAACAGGAGTGAAAAAGTAGGATTTACACTGATCGTCACAGCATTGAAATCTGGTTTTTAAGTTAGAATAGACGATTGGCGACAAAGGAGTCAGGATTTCGGTCGAACTCGAGAACGGCTCAAATGATTTTGGATTCGAAACGTAACTCCTTGAATTTTTGCAAATCAATGGGACTACATGATGAGTCAAGTTAAGTTAATTACATTTTGTGGACTGCGACTGGATGAAAACATGTTTTCGTCAAGAAGTCGGTTTTTTATGGGTCATTTGAACGTTTATGTCTGCCTAGATGATGATTGGTGCGCGTTTGTAGGGTGGCTGTCGAAAAAAAGATTCACACATGAAGCCCTTCGAGCTGCTCATGCTAAGTTAAACTGACACACTTAACTGAACAACTTTGATTGCAATCTGATACCATTTCCAAACACAAACTGCGAAACTCGAGATTCTATCAGTCGTGACCACACACTTTTTATCGGTAGCTTTCTCCTAAATTCTCCCAAACTCTTTCGGTAGCTAAAAGTTACAGCAAAACCTTGGAGGCTTGTGTGAATAAATCGAATCAAACCGAGAACACAAGAAGGAGTATTTCATAAGTAGATTCCGCCATCCAACATTTTGATAACTCCTGACCTGATGTTTTGGAATTATTACTAGCAGGCGACAGCTTTTATCACAGCTTTTACCACTGCCAACGTACTCAAACAAATACTAGACTTTGTTGAAAAATATAGGTCTAGATTTTTGCGTTTTTCGCTGTGGGGAGTGCACAGTGTGGCACTAATTAAAATCCAAATAATGAACAACGAATTTGAAAAACCAGGTCGACATGTGTGCTGGGACAGAACAGTCTTACGGCTCCCAATATTTAAATCATACTCAGAACGGGTTCTGTTTACATCCTCCGCATTTTTTTTACTTTCCTTTGAGTTTTACTCAGGCTAGCGAAAAATCGTTCGTTGTGAGTTCGAAGATAGAGTTTGGTAAACTTTCCAAAAGTTGGCGACGTGGATGCACCCAGAATCTGTTTGCTTCTTTCGAATTTCACTTCGACTCACTCCAGCGATTGGACGTTTTGGCCTTAACTTTCACGTGGGTCGCACATATCTGTAAGCTTTTACCTCTGAAAACGTGTCTGAACAATTCAGTCAAATCTATTTTTAGGCGAAAATATCGACACATCTGAAGTTCAAAATCATTAACGTCGGACCTGATACGAACATACTACGTTTCTACCTGGAATTCAAGGTGCCATGAACTGGAGAGAGAGACCCTTGTCACTAGCTAGCCGTGTAGGACACTAGCGGCTGTGCTCTTTCCGCTAGTGTCACTCCAGAACAACCTGTGTATTAGACGGTCGACCGCGCCAGTTTGATCAAGAACGCCAAGACACAAACGTAAAAGTACTTCAAGTAGTCAAACACTTTCGAATGCAATAAGCTAAATTGGAGATAGGGAAAAACAAATGTTCCAAACGAACCAGTGGTTTTCTCAACATACCATTACACATCATTGCAGTGTATTGACTGATACATTCTCTAGTTATCAGATGCGTTATCTCATTCAGTCTATGGCATGGCGTGAAGAAGAACCACAATGAAACCTTACATGGTTAGAGTAGGTGAGTAAATTTCTTGTGTTTTATCACCAAGGATGTGAAGATTTTTGTACAAACACCAAGTAAGACGACGCTTTGATGATTCATACGTGCTCAGTCAGGACAATCTAAATTTGCAGCGGATAGAAGACCAGTATTCAAGTTAGGGGCCTTGTCAAAGGTACACCTACCGCTTATGTCATTCACTGTGTTTAACACCGTGATTCAAGACAGTGGTGAGATTGATCAGAGTGCCTCAAAAACAAACTAGTTGGGCTCCTGATGGTATAAGTTTCAAGAAGACAAGTCATTTGTTGGCAGTTATGGTTAAAGCTAATGTGCCCCGTGAGTTCTCGAAACGTTATATTCCAGAAGGGAGCACTAAGAACCACGAAGGCAGGCAATGCTAATTTGGTAGCCGTGCAAGTGACGGAGAACAGTGTTGGACCGGAAATAGCCAAGGTTTTCGATTTTTTGGCACCCATGCAGTTTGTATATTCTAACTTTGAAAAACGTTTTCCCTAAACGTGGGCAGCGATCGAGACCTTCTCAGCACAAGCTACATTGTAGTACGTCTTCCTGGGGTACTTAGTTGAAAGCTAGGGAATAAATTTACTGGTTTACCAAGTCACCGAATCATACTTCTGGAGACATTGGGAACGGAAAACAAAGCACCAATCTCATTAGTCTTTGAAGAAGGCTGATTTCAGGAGCCCGTTACTACGATTTGATCCACAGTCCTAAAATGGTAGTCTATGCCACAAAAACGCATGGATGAACTGATGAAGTATTTATTGCTGACATCATCTTATATCGCCGAAAATTCCGCAGTTGTCAATGTCCGGAGAAACATTGCCGAGCAGGTTAGCTTAGCGGCAGGTTAAAATTCCCTACTTCGAAACTGTATCATTACATAGCCTAGACTGCTTGCTTACAAACAGTTTTATATTGGTATCAGAGATTCTGTTTCTCAAAATCTATCTACAGCAGTCAACTTCATACGAATGAGGAATGCAGTTTGCAAATGCATTTGATGTCATTAGCAGATGTCTTCCTAATTTTTATATTAAATTATAGCTTTTTTGAGTCATCAGGCGAAGCCTGAAGACAAAGATTTCTGAAAAAAGGCCGGATGGGATTCCAAGGTTACTACATTTCTGTGGATCTGAGACGACAAGCTATTAGAAAAATAATGCTATCTCTGAAATTATGAACACTGAGAAAAATATACCCTGTACGCAAAAGCCTAATGATGCATGTACAACAAACGGCCAATGAGTGATGAGGCTTTGAAGTGTTAGGACTCAATACAGATACAGAAACTTTTCCACGCTTTCCAGGAAATGGTCATCTTGCGTATCACTCTGAAAAACACTGAAAGACAAGCGGTAATTTCCTAAACACTAGTCGTAACCTCATTGGCGTCATTAGCTGCCATTATGAATAGCCAACAGTCACACAAAGGAGAATATGTTGACCCCGGCGAAACGATAACCATATCATCTGGCGCACATGCATTTAAGAAGAGTTGGCGTCCAAACTTTTAAGGAAACCGGCTACCACTGATGAATTATTAACGCCTTCACACATTTAAAATTACAGTTTGGTAATTAGCAGGTCTACATGAGAATCGTGAGCTTCCAAGAAACAATCCAGATTAAAAGTTGAGAGCCTGATTAATGGCTAATTTTGGTGCACTTGATTATGCAAAAGAAGACCAATCAAATGTCTTCCGGTAAGACGCTTGCAACATGGGTTTCATTTCTTGCAAGCCTAAAGGTTGACATTGTCACTCAAACTTGTATTTTATTGGTCCAGATGAGTTCCTATCTTGGTGACGGCACCATATACCGATATCACGTCTCAACTTACACCCAAGTTTAGAGGCACATATTCCAAGAAATTTCCTGTTTATAACGTAAAGGAAACGCACATAAAGTGAAAACTGCTCTTTTATCAGTATTGGAGCAAGTTGGAAGGCTATTTATCGGTGGAGAATGATTTTAATCGAAAGTTAAATTTAAAAGCAGGTTAATGAGTGATTTTCGCAGTTTACTGATTAAGTGGAAAGATAACGCGGATGAATTTTATACCAGTGACGGTCGCTGCAGACTGCCACGCACGTTTTTTAATACAGTGGTTTGGTAAGTCTGAACTTCCAATGTCTATTTTCGATTGTTCCCGAAAATACTATTCAGTTGACGCCAAATCGTTAGTGTTTCATATTATGGGGTCAGGGCCTGCGATTTATATGTGCCGGCAGGTAAAATAGGGGTGAGGATAAACTCTACAAATGTCCATATCTCTGAGGGGTTTAAGGCGTTTGTCAGTCCACAACAGTTAGACATTCACTCGTTGAGCAAAAAAATTAAACGAATAGTGCTATACAAACAGCGGCCGGAAGTTTAAAACGGGTCATCACGCTAGAAGTTAAACACAAATTCTTGTTCCCAGTTTCAGATGTGCTATTCCCGCACTCTAAGAAATTGCCAGGTTACCTTACAACAATTATGATTCGTGAATTTTCTAAACAATTCGAGTTAACCGAGTTTTCCATTGACCTTGGAGAGGACCGCTAATGATGAAAAAAGACTATTCCAAGCATGTTTATTGGCTATTATGCTCATAAACTCAGCAAAGCTGAGAATTTTGTGATCCATATCTCTTTAAGATGTTTACTGTGAAATGGTGGACGATTTTCTGCCGGACTAACAGGATTTATGGGTGTTTTCATATGCCTATGAAAGCTGCCTCCATCCAGCTCACACAAAACTAATAATGTTGAAAACAACGGATCTTTCGAGGTCGCATATGTTTAAAAGAGTTTTATATCTAGGTAATTTTGGACGTTTTAATGGGGTTGTAAATATTTGATTAAGTAATGGGAAGTAAAACACTCTGACCACACTCCACAGCGTACAGGTTGAAAGCAGCAAAAATACGTTAACATGAGCATTGGGTCCGTTGTGCTGTTTGCGTTTGAAACTAAAAATGATTTATGAACTCGTTAACGGTGATTCGAAAAGCAAATCTCACGAGTTTGTTTGATAATGTGGAACGTACTAACCAAAGGGGGTAGATGAAGTTGACCGAAGATAACACACCGAAAAAGAGAATTGCATTTACTGTAAACTCAAACATCAACCCATACTGATGTTCACTCCCTTTTCATGCTTAGATTAACAATTACTACAGATTCCCGTCTGTGCAATGTATGTAGCAACGTTTAATAAAGTCGAATGGAAGTGTATAAAGTAGCAGCGAG